TGGGTGAAGAAAATAGCACAACATACTAATATCACATGTATTGTAGACTCTCCCTTTTGTCTACTACTCCCCCTGATTCGTACATCAATTAATGGAGTTTGAAAAGTCTCCACATTCCAATATTTGCCACATGTTTCTCAAATGTGACCTTAGGCAATGATTTAATAAACAAATCAGTCACATTCTCCTTAGACCTTACTTGATTCACTTAAATCTTAAGAAGAGTCTATTGTTGTTGATTATAAAAAAAACTTTCACGAAATATGTATTGTATTATCACCATTGATATATCCTACTTTCATTTGTTCGATACAAGCTGCATTATATTCATATATGCATGCAAGATTTTGAGTGGTTGAACTTAAACCACCAACCACTAGCTCATCTTATATGTGTAATGACAGATCTTAGCCATATACACTCTCGAACTGCTTCATGTAGAACAATAACCTCTAATGGTTCAAGATGATAGCTACAAGGGTTTGCTTGGTAGATTCCCAAGAAATCATCGTATTCCCAATTGTAAAAACATATCCTGTTTGGGAACGACCTTTGTATGGGTCAGAAAGATACCCAACATCAACAAAGCCTACTAATATATCATTTTGGGTTTCATTGTATGTGATAACACTTTCTTTGTTAATACTTTTAACAAGTATTGTAACCCCATTTTTTTCTTTGTAGGGAAAAAATAAGCTCATGTCGATGGTTTTTTTAGGTTTTGAAATATATTATTGATACCATTCCAATGACTTTGCGTTGGCGCCAAGCTAAATTTAGTTAACAAGTTCACTGAGAATGCAATATATGGTCGAGTACATTGTGCTACGTATAATAATGCGACTATTGCACTTAGATAGAGAATTTCAACTCCCAACACCTCTCTGTCATCATCCTTTGGACGAAATGGATTTTTCCTTATATCCAACACTTCGACCGATCATTGGAGTGTTAACTGAATGCTTTTTGTCCATATTAAGTCGTTTGATCATTTTCTGGACATATGTGGATCGGTGGAATGATATTCCACAAACTCGTAGTCCTAGCTCAAATAGATAGACAAAACCAAGTTTTCCCAAGATCTTTCATCTCAGATTTAGATTTCAAGTAGCTTGTGGTTTCTCTTATTTCATCAAGAATGCCTATTATGTTTATAACATCGATTTATAGAGCTATGATCGAAAGTCTATAACTCGTTTACTCTATAAATACACAAGGACATGGTTCGTCGTTCTTATATATCTTCCCAATCAAGTATTCACTTGGGCGGATATACCATGTCCACCTAGATTGCTTTATCTATAAAGTGAAGGTTTCAAGTTTATTGCAAACCCACTTCGTAGTTTAGAGTTACTTGATTTGGGTAATGTAATGTCGTCGTCGTCACTTACCAGGTAAGACTCTTGGTCCTTGTCTTGCTTTTACCGAGTAAGATTCTTGATCTTTATCATATTCATCCGGTAAGGTAAAATGACTAGGTGTTCACTTGCTCGAGTAAATATTTGGTAAACGGCCCCTTAGTATCACTGAAATTTTAAGACATTTATAATAATAAACGATATGTACTAATTAATAAAGTGTTTTTTAATGGTTTTTCTGTTAGATTGATTATTATGGGAGAAAGAGCAGGGCCGGCCCTAGCCACGTGTAGCCCGTGCGGTCGCACAGGGCATCAAATCCTAAAGGGGGATCAAGTTGTCATCTATTACTAGTTTTGGTTTAAAAATTTGGGAATTGGACAATTCAGCTTTAACTCTAAAAACATGTCCAAGGCCTAGTAGGGATGGATATTGAATGCACATCGTGAATCGGTTAGCGCCATCATTCCAACAACTCAATATAATTTCTATTGTTCTTCAATGTTCGACTATTTCGATTTTCAAGACATTGAGTTTTGTTTCCAGCTGATTAACGGTCATGAAATTAGATTCAAGAAATCAAAGATGAAAATCTCGAGTGACTGATTTCTACAGTTGACTGAACTTATCGAGTTGTTGTGTGAGTCATATTATGATTTATGAATCTTAATTTTTTTTTTCCAAAAATAAAATCTAAATTTCTAACTGATTATCATAAAGTTGTGTCATGTATGGTCATGTGGGTTACTGACCTACTAGGCTACGGCTAAGGGGTTTTTTGTCATTTTGATAATAAGTCTTCCTTTTGCATATTGAAATATATGAGAATTGAAATTTGCAATGTACATGAGCACATCACTGTATCGACATAGCTGGAGCACGCTGCACAACATTAACAAAATATTGTGATATTATCTTAATTATTGGGCACTTGTTCTTTACAATGCATAGTAACATAGATTATGAATTTTACAATTTATCATTGTTCTTTTGGCTTTTGTTTACTTTAAGGTTTGACATTACCACATTAGATTTAGGGGCCGTTTGATTGGTTTTTTATTAAGTTTTATATGGATAAAGTTGTCTGTATGGATTAATCTGTTTGTATAAGTTGGAAAAGTTTTTGTTTAGGAGAGTTTTTTCATAGATGTAAGGAGAGTTTTTTCATAGATGTAAGGAGCGTTTTTTTAGTTAGAAGGGACATGTTTAGAAAAGTAAACTTGCTTTCTATATAAACCTCCCCCTAGAAGCTTACTGGATAAGTCACTTTCTATATCATTAAGCCACTACGAAACAATCATGCATAGTTGAGCGAATAAGTTGTTAGTCTCATTAAGCTGCTAACAAATAGGCCCTCAGACTTTAAATGTTACACCTGTAACTTTTTGAGTTTTACTTTTTGCTTATTATGACAGTAATTTGGATGTGATTTACTATTTTAGTTAAAAACGAAATGTAGTTTTCCTTTTCTTTTAAGTTTCATATATTGAAATAAAGTTTCTATTTTACTAATTTCAATTTGAAAAAGGGAAAACCGGAAAAGAAGGAAGCACAATCTTAATCTAAGATTTATCTTTTTATCATTCTATATTTTGTATTAGGGTTCCCCCCCCCCCCCCCAAATTGTATTTTTTTTATTATAATTACTAAAAATCAACATGGAGATGAGACACTTAGCTTGACTAGGTTCCAAACTCTTTAAAAAATCGCATGTTTCGTTATTTTATTGGCTTAAAAAATAGGCTTAGGGGTATTTTTTATTTTTTTCGCATGGAACATAAAAAATCTTAGGACCGGCCCTGAGAAAGAGATACATGTATTCATTATATAATGCATGTAGCATGTATATATTGTATATTGTAAGAGTAAAGAGTGTACGAATCTCATTTAATCAATGTAGATATATAATGAAAAAACAAATTGTATAAATGAATGAATTCATCAATACCATCTAAAAGATGAGTTCATAGTTGGACAATGGTATGTAACACCCAAATTTTTGAACCATTTGTAATGAAAAAGTCAAATGAAGGACTATGTTTGTCAAGTCTTGAAAGTAAGCTCACGGATTAAGAAGTTATTAGTTGGAACTTGGAAGTTGCGGATAGAAAATTAGAAATGCACACGAAAACGTTTAAATCTAAAGAGCTGAAGCCTAGGCTCGACCTTAAAGCTCGATTAGACTAATTTTTTTCTATTCCTAGTTAAAGTCTCATCTGAAAAAATCTGACCGACCTTCTTTCAAACCCAAAACCGGCTTGACCCGGCTTTCAAAAACCCTAGTTTTTCTTGCTTACTAAAATACGGGCTTGAAAAACTCTGGCCCAAACCCGAAAAAGTTTGGAAGTTATGCTAAATGTGATTATTTGATTATGTTAAAACATTTAAACCCATTTAATATACTAATTATACTCAATAATGAAAGCAATTTACCTTTTAAGTACTTAGATGATGAATTTAATAAAAAGGTTGTTTGAATGTTAAAATTGTATTAAAATATGAATACTATTTATAGTGATATAAATAATTTAAATTTTTATTCCTAGTATCAATTTTAATTTTAAATAAAGCATGATTGTTTCAGTTTTGATGTTTTATTCCAATTAACACACGTTTTAGTAAACTTGGCGCTTGCCAAAATTTGGGGATGTTATCCCAGTTGTAACATATTTTCGGTGTGTATTGTTTTAATTATGATTGTATCGTAACATAAATATGATCTACGCCTACTGCATGACATCACCTTAATTAGCCCATGTCCACATTTCACATAACATGCATAAATATGAGTTTCCAACGAAAACATGGTCAAAATAAGAAAACACATGTGATTTTACACTAAAACCACATGCGATTACAAAGCACTGTCAACACAAGAGTAATTTGATCGTTACATCGCAGAATGGCATGTGATTGTAGCATAAAATCACATGTAATTTGATCGTTACCATGTTTTCTTATTCATTCATTGTTTTCGTTGGAGCCTAACCCATACATAATATACCAAAAACATCTGACAAATAGATACTTAAATTACATAAAAGTTGGCAAAATACATCATCATACTTCATATTTTCGTTAATATACATGCAGATTGTTCTACGTAAAGTACAAATACCTCTCTCCCTCTCTCTCATCACCCAATACATTTTACACATAAACAAGCCTGCAAATGATCAGAACAATAATAGACTACAAAGAAGAATCAAAGATGTAACACCAAACAAAATGGGGTGCAAATGCTGATATGAATTGCTTTCAATGTGCTCAGCCACGTTGAAATCACCTGCAAAAAACAAGTATATTTCATTGCAGACTTCTTGTTGCACTTGTATTCCCACAAATTGTCCAAAATAGACAACTTTGAAAAAGAAACTGCCTGTACTATTGTCTTTTTGGCATTTGTATTCCCACAAATTGTCCAAAATAGCTCATTTATGCCTCATTTTTATAGGAAAGATGGTTATTTTGAAAGAAATGGTTCAAAAAGCCAATCACATGTACCTCTATGTGGGCCATAGCCACAGCCCACTTTGATCGTTTCCTTCACGTCCTTTATGGTAGCATGATTGTAAAAAACAAAGTGTGTAAGGATATCATTAATGCAGTTGAGCACGAGGTGTGTCTCCTTTAGGCATGGCCCGTTACAGTATTCATCAGCGAACTCAGGTGGCACGTTGAGTTGACCCCTCTCTGTCAACCTATACGACTCTTCACAGCTGCTATAAATCTGCTTTAAAATGGTATAGAGTTGATTCAGGATCTCCATTAAGATAAATGGATTCTTGCTTTTGATGTCAAACCTCATATACCCTTTGAATTCATAATGTAGATGGGGTTTTCCTACAAATCTAACACCACCATCTTTTTCGATCTGTAGTACTCTTCATAAAGATCAATCTAATTCTAGGATTACTCATGGAAACTTGTATAAATTTGGAACTGAAATTTGTTCCGTTTGACCTTGATGGAAAAGTCTAACATCCTTAACCACTTAAATCTTGATTTGTTTGGATAAAATAGTTAACTTTAAAATTGAGGATGTGAAAAGATCACTTACATGCTTATCACTAAAACATTCAAGGGCCTTCACAATAACCTCCTCAGGTTCATCACCACCACTGTCTCTGGCTCCACCACCTGGTTCAGGTATATATCCAATCCCAGTTCCAGCAATTCCCGTTTCTGCTTTCCCTGTAATAAATCACTTTCATCAAACAAAAGTTTCAATCAGAATCTATCACTTGTTAATCGAAGGGTACCTGATTTGAAGCAGAAAAGAACGATAAATAGCAGCATCATAGCTAAAAGCCATTGCTTAACAAATACTGAGGAAGCCATGTTGGTAACTCGACAGAAACAATGAGCATATATAACAAATTATGTCTACCATTTATTACAACATTGATGAACAGAAATTCATCTTGGCTGGTAAAACCAACCAAGACTGTTAATAATAGTGTAAAAGAAGATTCAAAGAAACTGTTGGAAAATACATTTCTGGGAAATTTGATTGGTAAATGAGAAGAAACAAGAAATCTTGGTTGGATTAAGGCTGACTAACAAGAAAGAGCAGTTGAAGAAACTCACCAACCTTTCTTCATTCAGCTTTTTGCCAAAATCAAACCTAATTTACTTTTTTTTTCATCTCTTGCAGTTTCAGGAACCTCCCCCAATCAAAGTTTTGAAATTTATGGTCAAATGAGTCAATATTTTAGAATCCATATTTTATAAGGATGATCTAAAATTAGAGCTTATTGGCGATACCATGATAATGTCTAATAAAAAGGTTACGGGTTACAGGGTATCATACATCTAAATTTTGCATATATTTATTTTGAGTCTCAACAATGACCTATTTGATCAAAAGGTCAAATCTTACTTTTAACGGGCAATAAAGAAAGAATGTCACAATTAGATCATTATGCTTCAGTCCACAAAAGTTGCAAATATTAACTTGCAACATAGCTTAATAAACTTGTTTAACTATCGATCAGATGTCCAAAATATCACTTAATGAGGCCAAAAATGAACAAAAGCAGTGAACCAAAATCAAAGTTGACAACACCAAATCATCGTTACTAAAAAGGCCACAAAATAAACTTGGATCGAATACTATCCATAAAAAGGAAACAGAGGGAGTAGCAGCAAACACAAAAGACTCGGTAAGCTCACTCTTATGCAGCTATCTGCAAACCATGGATGAGCCTTGGAACAATTCGTAATTTTGACCCAAAGTATTTGACTATTTCTGAAAAGTCCAAAATACCATTCAACAATATAAGCCAATCTTCTACACCTAAATCAATGCCATCAATCTTTTCTCATGTAACAATGGGTAACTATAATCACTCTTGAAGACTTTCCAAAAATGCAATGTTACAACTTCCATGAACATAGTAACTTCCAACTGAATACAAAACATAATATGTACTGATAAGAACATAGGTGCAAGAAAGAAGGATAACACTCGAGTTTATCGATCATTATATAGTTAAATTGATGCTACATACCTTGAGCTTGATGTACTGCAGAATGAAACCAGCAATGTGGCTGCAAATTAACTCCAGGATGTACAATTATCAAAGCCGAAGGTACAAAGAGATCGAATAAACTTTGAGTCGATTGTAAAATTTCTTTATAGAATCGAGATGGGTTTCAACACAATTCCCCTCTCTTTATACTTCAAAAAGATATCCCGGGCCTCACTGAACCTAGCAGACTGAACTAAAGCATCAATAAACAAATTACATGTATAAGAATCAGGGATACATTCATTAGCTTCCATTGATGAGAACAACTCTTTAGCTTCTTTATACCTCCCCAAATCTGTCAACATCTTAATGAAAGCACTATAAGTGAAGTTATCTGGAGTCAAACCTAAAGTCAACATCGTCAAGAGGACCCTCTGTGCCTTCTCGACCTTCTTCATCCTACAAAAGTTCTGAATCAAAGCATTGAAAGAAAAAACATCTGGCTTTACCCCATTCATTTGCATCTTCTTCATCAAAGCCTTTGCTTTAAAAACATCACCAATAATACACAATGAACGGATCAGGATATTATAGGTTATAGCATTCGGATGAACACCCCAATCAACCATCTCGTTTAAACAATCAAGAGCGTCATCAATTTGATGGGTCCTACAAAGACCATGGATCAGTGAACTGAAAGTATAGGTGTCGGGTTTAAAACCACGTTCTAGGAGCATCTTAAGAAGCTCGCGTGCTTCACTCATATCACCAGCCTTGCAATGCCACGATAAGAGAGTGTTAAAAGTAACAAGATTAGGAGAAATACGATGCTGAAGCATATCCAGAAAAGTTCTCATTGCCATATCAATCATACCCGACTTGCAATAACTGTCAATTATCATGTTATACGAGATAACATTGGTCAATAGCCCCTTTTCAAGAATCTGATTTAGATACCGATTTCCCTCCAAAATTCTCTCATTCTTGTATAAAGATTCAACCAGAAGAAGATAAGTATTGAATCCAAGTATCATACCTTTTCCAATCAAACTATCAACGATATCACATGTTTCCATGAGATCAGATCCCTTAAGTAAACAAGTTATAGCGATGTTAATCGTCATAGTATCAGGAACATAACCTCTCTCAATGATTTTCTTCAAGAAAACAGCAGTTTCTTTAGGCAAAGAATTGCTCGAAAGACAAACCAAAACAGATTCGCAGACTGCTATAGGCAAGTCATGTTCTTTCTCCACAAAATCAGACATTAATTTAAAAGCCTCGAGTGCAGGAGCATTACGAAATATCCCATTAACCAATGATCTAAAAGTAGCATCATTAGGTCTCACGTTACTCTCCTTCATTCTCTCCAAAATCTTAAAGGCTTCTTCAATCCTTTTTGCGTTACAATACCCATCAATGAGTATTGTATATGTAAAAACATTCGGCAGATATCCCATTTCTTGCATTTGTTTAACTAATCGTGACGCTTCATCTACGACTCCAACTTTGCAGACTCCATGGATGAGGAAGTTATAGGTAAACCTATCCGGATTGCATCTGTCCGCCTTCATTTGTTGGAATTTCAAATATGCCAAGTCAAGTGCATTCGACTTCACCAACGCATCAATCACTGCATTATACAACCTGGTACTAGGAGTAAGGCCTAAAAAAGAAATCTGATCAAATATCTGAGCACAATACTTGGCTAAACCTAATCTTCCCCAACTGCTTATTAAAATACAAAGTGAATCCTCTGTGACACTACACCCAGAACTCCTAATAAGTTCAATAAGCTCCTTCGATAACAAAACCGGACCTTTATAGTAAAGGGTATTTGCTAAAACACCGCGAACCGATTGATTCTTCGCAAGTAGAGGATTAATATCCGAAACCCACAAATAAAAAATCAAATTGTGTAATGGGTTTTCCTGATTCTGCAACACACTCACAATGTTCCGAGGGTTTAAGCTAATTTTATTGGATTTTAGCTCATCGTTTAGCAGAAGATACCAATCTTTTCTTGAAAGTATCTGAGAAATGTACCGATGATCAAGGGGTTTATGAGTGGCGGTTTTTAATTGAGGGTTAATTGAAGAAAACTTACCTGTTGCGGTGAAATCAGTGGTGCTGATTGAAGGGTTTATGAGCTCAGATGAAGAACTGGATTGAATCCTTGACTGGTTTTGTCTCTTGGGTACAAAATGATTCGGGATTAATTCAGCCCTAGAAGCCAGAGCAGAGAGGCGTCTCATGCCTCCGACAAATGCACCGCCGGTTTGGATTGCCAAGTTTCGGAAGGTTAAAACTTGAAAGATTCAGCCAAAATTGAACCGGACTGCCGGGACTTTTTGGTGGAGCGAACCGCCAGATAAATCAAAATAAAAAATAACCGGCTCTTCAACCTAACGTATATAATTGTTGTTTTTTTCTTTCAATATTTTGTTGTTGTTTATTCATAAAAATTCAAATGATTTTTCATCTTGAGAAATAGAATTTTAGATTATTTTTTGGTTAAATAAGTTTTTAGACTTTTAAAAAGCAATTAAATATAATTTTTTAATCTGTAAAATCGAATAATATGATAAAATTAAGGTAAAAAAAGATAATATCTTTTTATATTTTGAACAATTAAGTTTTTAAATTTTTAGACTTTTTAAGACCAATTAATTTTTTTTTAAATATAACCAAGAAAATAAAAAATATATACCAATTAAGAGAATACTTAAATTTTGCAATTCATAATTGAGGGTTGAGCTAAATACGATAATAAGTTGCAATGGATGTGTAACATAATTTATGGTGTTCCACTACTGTGGCTATGGCTAACTACTTGAATGCAAAATCCCCTTTCAAATATGTCTTCCTTGCATTGTTTAGGGGTTGTTTGGTAATTCTTGAATGATTTGGTGCAGAATGATTAAGTTGTTAAAATGATTAAGAATTTCTCATGATATAATGCAAAATGAAATATAATTGTTTGGTAATTGTGTACAATGAAATAAGGGCTCTTAATGGTTAAGGGAGACTCAGGATACAAAATCATTCAGAGAGTTTTAGAACCATTAAGAGTCAGACTTTTATTTTGTCAAACAAGATTCACTTCTTAATGATTCAGATGTTGCCTCTTAATAGAACTATTAAGAGGTAAACAAACAACCCATAATTAGTGTTTCTACAAAGGCTTTGGTGGATAACACCAACAAAATACATACATACAGCCAAAACGACATATTTCCTCTAGCACTTGACTTGGTCCACGAGGAGAGAGAAACGATTCTTGATTTGAGATTCAATTTTTAGAAATACATATTGAATTTTGATATCGGCAATTGACAGTGAAACATTTACTACACCCTCAACCTTTTTATTTTCAGTCTCATATACTACTTTCATGATTGCATTCATTTCAGTATTTGTAAGAACAATAGTTAACAAGAAAGAAAGTACACGACATTCACAATTGTTTAGCCAAATAGAAATGTTTTTGTAGTCGAGAAACTATCTGCCACTTGAATAATGTACAGTAAACTTTTTTCTAGCATTCAAATCGCCAAAACCAATTTTGATATTGCATTAGCATGTACCTCATGCATTAAAAGTTGTTTAGTGTATTGGATTTCACTAGTCCAACATTGTAAAAGAAGTTTTATCCTTAACTCAAATCATCATCGGCCCGCGAGCAAGCCTTGAAGTCCCTTTTCTGAAATTTATACACCTCTTACTCTCCCTAAAAAGGTCAATTCAAGAAACAAAGAAAGCAAAACTTCGATAAACAAATCAAGATATAATAAAGATAAATTATTTACGAAAGTTGAAAACGACATGTAAAAGTGATGTTTTATCAATGAATAAAAACTCACATGGTTGTCCCTTCCTGATACACAAGTAGGTCGTCTAGGAGGCAAACGTTGACGAGGTGTTCTCTGCATTTAGCACAATAATTTGAATCATATCAGTCTCTATATAACAAGACACAATCATTGTAACTATTATTTCTCATTAGGTCACCGATCCGAGTCCTACAAAGCCATTGGGCATCTTTTTTACTTTTCTTCAGGGTTTCTGAGATTAGTCGATGTATGCACAAGCTATCTCGGACATCCACGGTTAACAAACAAACCTACCATTTCTCATTTCAAAATTCTTTCTTATTTTCTTCAAACGTTTGAAATTTCTAAAACTTAACCACTTCAATTAAAAACTAGAAGAGTACTCGCGCAATCCAGTGAGATACATCTTGATTTTAATATTTCATTTTATTCTTTATCTCAGTCGATGTTATAGTATGGTCTTATGTGATTTTGAAAAAGCGATAATGTTTTTATTTTTGAATAAAATATAAATTTGAAGATATCATAAAAATTTGACAAAAATATATCGATATTAGTATCAAATTAACTATTTAAAATTCTTATTTTTTGTGTAATTTTTTAATTCAAATTTTTTTATTATAATTTAATTTAGGTTTAATAACGAAGTAATTTATATTTGGGTTAATAATATAGTTTTCTTATAAAGATAATAATTAATTATTTTGTTAGAATTCGATAAATTATTCTAATTATATTTTAGATTTTTTATATTTTCAAATGAGATGTTTATCCTCTAATTTTATGTTTATCCGCAGTTAGTTACGCGAATTCAAACATGAAATTTTAATAAGTTGTACTTATACATAACTTACTTGTAATATTGAATTTTAAGTAATATACAATACTTCATGCATAAAAAATGATTTTTAATTTTTTTTATCAAATACTTTATAATATAGTATAAATACCTCTAATTTTGGTCGCAACGTCTCTATAGCTATTGTTGATTTCTCATTTATTCCTGCACCTTGCTGTTGATCAAAATAAAACGTAAAGATTCATCCCATTAATTTGGATATTGAAATAAGCTCATTATTTGGGCCAAGCAGGCCCATCAACGTGGGCCATATAAGCTCATTAATCAATTTAGAATGCTACCTTGCATAAGGCCCAATCGGCTGAATCAAAGAAAGCACGTTCATGGTCCTGGCCCAATAAATAAAATAATAAAATATGAGGGAAATATTAGTAAATTGGTAAGAGGGGGGTATGATACACTTAAATGAGATGGCTAAAATAGTAATTTGGCATGCCTTCGATATTAAGGGTTTCTTCTTTGGTACTAGTCCTCCATATTTTTGTCCCATTGTCGTCTCCTACAAGTAATATAAACAGATATAATAAGACTTATTTAAAAGACTAAAAAAAATATCATCGAGACCTATCAAACATGATTAGATCATAACGAATATAAAATCGGCCCAGTTTTAGCTTTTAAAATTAAAGAACATTTTCTTTAACAATTATAATAAAATCAACAAATTGTTATCTACAAGTATCTATTTTACATGATCCAGACAAAATTAAAAACATGATCTCGACAGAATCGACAAAAATTATATTCAGACACACACTGCAAAACACGCAAGTCTTAGGTTAAGTTTATTAAACCAGTATTTTAAAATTTACTAAAAAACCAAATATGATATTCAAAATTTCACCTTGTTGTGATCAAGTGTATAATATTGAATAGCAAGTCTTTTTCTTTGCAAGGGGCAATCCACATGATTCACTTGACATCCCAACAACATATGATGTATCTCAAACATGTGAAATGACTATATTACCCTCGAACTTAATTGGCCAAAATAAAAAGAAATCACATAATTATGGACCACCTATATACTAATATGGTAGGCCACTTGCCACGTGATTAATTTAGTTCTAGGACCCCTAGAAACATATAACGCAATTTCTTTTTTTTATAAACATTTACGTTTTTTGTATGTATATGATAAGATATTTTCGTTAATAACTTGATTTATAAACTATATGTTATCTTGTTTTTCGAAATAACTCATTTTTCAAAGCTAGTTTCCAAGGAAGACGTGACAAAATTAAAGATTCGTACAATATTTTCTATAAAAACGGTGAATTGATGCATGATAATACTATATATAGAAATAAATTTATACCGAATCAAGATACGTGTGCATGTATTATGGCAACCCTTTGAGACCTAATATACGTAATTGCAAATAGACGGTGAAACGATAAGATTATGCAAAAGTTTTGGAAACTCGTATAAAAAACAACACCCCCCTTAAAGAACTAACATTCATTTTCTGACTTTTATATTGCATACATGCCGATTTTGAATTTAATTTATTAAAAATGACTTTATTTAATTAGAAGAGAATGGGTAGGTATATCAAATGCCAATATATATATATATATATATATATTTGAAATTCCAATGATATTTAATTTGAGTCATGTATCATGTGTTCTTTAGAACCACCAATTATTAATTTAAAAGATAATTTAATTATGAAAAAAATACAATTAGGTGGTTTTTAATGTATTTATTTGTTCCAAAAAATTTAACCATTTTTTAGATTTATGGATTTTTTTTTCTTTGAATTTTACTTCCAATTTAAATATAATATATATGAAGTCAAAAGATTTAAAAAAGAAACAAGTCGTGAAATATAAAATTAAAAATTCGATCGTTTGTTTCACATTGAAGGGGAAACAAGAAGATGCCAAGAAGAAAGTTCACACCATTACCTCATGTTCATGGCCATTTTTGGAGATGAATTCCTCCTTTCTCTCGTATTCTGCCATTTATTCTTATGCACGTCAAGAAAACAAAGAATTAACATTTAACAACTCAAAAACGCAAACATATATATGATCGTAAAGACTAATTCACGTGCTTGTGTCTCACCTTCTTCGCAAGAGAGAGAGAGAGAGAGAGAGAGAGAGAGATGGCTAAATTGCAGAAGAGCTTTATGAAGACTAAAATGGTTGAGAAGAAATCAAAACATTAGGGTGTATTTATAGTCGTAGGCCAAATAAAGGCATCTAGGTTGTAGTTGAAAAGAGAATATACTCATATAATTATATCCATTTCTATATCTATATCTATATCTATACCTATACCTATATATATATATAGAGAGAGAGAGAGAGAGAGAGAGAGAAATTACCTTGAGAAGAAGAAATGGAGTGACGAAGCCAAGGAAGAAAGACGGAGACAAAAAAGAAGAACAAGGTGAGAACTAAAAAAATGGGAGATAAAGAGAGGGGGTTGGAGTTAGGAGGGAGGAGGGTTTGAGTGAGGAGGTGAGATATGAATATTATATATAATTGTTTTTCTATTCCATGCTAAAATTTTAATCGTAAAGCAAGAGAAAAAAATTTGAATAAAACTCCCTTTTAAAAATAATTTTAAATAATATAAATTTGTTTGATTCTAAATCTTATTATTATTTAAATATTTAAAAAAATAAAATAAAGACGTAATTTATTAGTATAATTCAATGTTTATCTTGTGTTTGAACTATTTATCAGTTGATAATTAGCTAATTTTATAAAGTTCAATCGTGGAGGAGCGGGATAATGCACAAATTTATAGATATCATCATCGTCATTTGAATAGTTTTGGGAGAGATGTGAGAGGCGTGGGGGGGTTTTAAACCGGGAAGTTCATAGTACTTGGAAAATTTTACTTGGGCTATAATAATTTATAACATTAAATCTTAAAATATTTGCATTAATGAATGAAATTTGATATTTAATAACTCGTTCTTTTTTCAAATATTTTATTATATGGTAAATAATGCACTTCCGACATAGCATTTTTTATAATTATTTTACATCTTAATGACTAAATATTATGTTACAGAGTAAATGACGGATTTCATACCCTGTATTTTATGGGTTTTTCCACTCTTACAATTCATTTATTACAAAGATGACCTCATATACCATTTAGTTTTAGTTTTAGTCCATGTGGCTAAGTTCGTTCATATTGCTCATGTTAAATGATATCATGTGCTCTTACATATGGTCACTTCAGTTTTTTTCCTAGTCATTTTCAAAGAATTTCGATAGTGTGAAAAAATGGCATTCACTTTCAGATCTTCCTTATCAAGGTCCACCACCAACCGCCACCCACTATCGATACATTTACCCTTAGGACAACCACCACCTACCGCCACATTCCAAACACAAAGAGCAGTAGACGACAAGGGCGACACATATAAGTTGGAAAGAGTTGACGACAAGTGCGCCACAGATAAATTGGAAAGGGTTGAGAATATGGGTGAAATAGAAAAAACCGAAACAATTAACCGCGAGGGCGACAAAGAGCAACACTAGATGAGGACAAAGAGGGAACTATGTCAGCATAAGTAGATGCAAATGAAGACGTGGGGATCAGCGAGAGAGATAGGGGGGGGGGGTTGAGGGAGACAAAGGAGGAGGAGGAAGAGCAAGAGTTAGAGTAAAAGTGAAATAAGTTGTAAAAACCAAGGTTTTATGATAATGTTACCCTTTTATGTAGAAAACATTATGTCACTTAACTAAAGATCTTTAGTTAGACAAAGTTAGTAACGGGGACAAAAATAAAAACCAAAATGTTACTTCAATTTTTTTGTAATATTGTAGAGATGCAAACCAAAAAATAATCCATAAATCGCATAGACAAATTTATAATTTACTTGATGTAAAAAGTTCTTATATACTTGAGAAATTTACACCCTATGGTATTACAAAGATCTCGTATGTGATATACATATATATATATATATATATATATATATATCTACATACACATCCACATATATATATGTATCCTTGGTTGTGTTTAAAAAAATTCAACCCAACCCGTTCAATTTGGTCGGGTTGTGTTTAAACAAAGTAAAATCAACATTGGGAACATCAAAATAAAGGAAACCTTCATTTGAAATACAATCAATCATTCAAGAGAATACGAGTTGATCAAATATTTTGGTATTACATATAACTTCCAATAATGTCCTCTTATGAGTTTCATTGCTCGTTGTCAAATCGTTTTTGGTAGCCTATACAAATTAAAGAGATACAAATATTTAAAGAAGGCACTAAAACTTTCATCTAGTTCGTGAGGTTACTTTGGGCCTAACCTAATTGCAACCTAATAGATTTTGTTTGCCCTAATTTTATATCAATTATATGGTGGGTTACCTTAGGTTAACTATTTTAAGGGTTTTTTGGACTGGCTAGTCGGGTTGATCGGTTTTTGAACACCCCTAGTTTCGTGTATGACAAAACTCAAGATTTCATGGTTTGTAGGAATGGTTTCAAGATTTTATGGTTTCATTAATGAAAAAAACTCATGGTTTCATGAATACAAACAAACTTCAATATCTACAATCTTAATTTCAATATTGACGAAAATTAGAATAAAAAACATTTACAAAATTGTAAATTAAACGGTTACTAGACGAGTGATTCCTATCAGCTATCAATGAACACACCATTACTTCAAAAATCTGGAGTCTTCACACCTTCAAGCTTCACTTAAAATTTAGAATTAAAAAAACTAGATCATGATTTAATCAATTTCCAAAAAGGTAATGCACATCCGCAATATTTAGGAAGAATAATTAAATAGATGATAACTATAAATAGATCAAAATTAGAAAAAGACAATAAAGCCCTTTAATGTAAAAAAAATAAAAAAAGGAAAAAACCAATTGTTAGATTCTAATTGGAGGAATTATGTTTGAAAGTTTGTATGAATGGTAGAGTTTGCATTTGACCCCTCCTATGTATGTGTGTGTGTGTGTTTGTGTATATATAAAGAGAGTAAAAAAATCCAAAACTTTTTTTCTTTTGTGAATCGGAGAGAAAGGAGAGCATGACATGTGTCCCTATTTGTCTTCGTTCATCAATACATAATGAACTTGATTCATGATATACTTTTTAAGATAACGAGGTTTATCGTTTATTAAGTTTGAGGTTATTTTTAAATAAGGGTGGAAAGTTGAGGGATTAAATTGATCATGTGTTTAAATTCATTTAAAACTCTCACCGTCTTATTATTATTAAGTATAATTTTAATTGAGATATTTGATATATCTCCTTGGGTTGGTAAAAGGGAGTAAGAAAAAGAGTTGGTAAGAAGGAAAAGTCTTTTCTGTGTGTGGGTTGAGCCGAAAAAAGTGATCGAAGGGAAGAACGGTTATAGGCTATTGATTCTATGAATTTAATCTGTCTACTTGTTGCTGTTTCAATCTCCATCTCAGTAATATCATAAGGTGAGTTCTATTTGCAAAACATCAATTTTCTTGTTTATTGGTGAAGAAACCGTGAGGTTTCAAGGTTGAGTAATTGATGATTTACATAAATTTTTGGGTTTTGATATGATATTGTCATCTGTTTGTAATAAAAGTGGTATAATCAGGAGTTGAGTAATTTTTGGTAATAAGGGTGACATAATCAGGAGATGGATAATTTTGGTAATAAAGGTGACATAATTGGAAGTTGAGTATATATTTGTAATAATAGTGACATAATCAAGAGCTATGTATTTTGGGATAATGTGGCATAATCAAATTATGGAAAAATTATGATTATTTGATCATGGGACTATGTTATCGCATCTTTGTGATGCAATGAGTATGATTTTATCGCATGAGTGTGATGCGATGAATATGGGATAAAAAGTGAAGTGTTGGTTATCGCATCTTTGTGATGCAACAAGTTGCTGTTATCGCATCTATATGATGCGATGAGTTACTATTATCGCATCTGTTGGATGCGACAAGGTGGGTTATCGCATCTTTGAGGTGCGACAAGGGTGGGTTATCGCATGTGTATGATGCGACAAGTTACTGTTATCGCATCCGTTGGATGCAACAACCTTATGACTTATTTATTTATATGTTGCGATAAATGGGTTATTTCATTGGTTGAGGCGATAAGTGAGTGTTGTCTCACTTTGATGCGACAAAAAGAGGTTTGTTCAATAAAATGTTGTTTATTTGTTATTTATACAGTTAAGGCTTTTATAAAAAGTATTTTGGTGATTTTCATCATGTAATAGTAATAAAAAAGAATTTCTCACTAGACCTCAAGGTCTAACCCTCATTTTTTGTGTTTTTGAAAAATATGCATTACAGGTCGAACACAACCAAAGGATAAGGGAAAAGGAAAATTGTGAGGAGTTCATATAAGCTTACATGGGATGTTAAGGATAACATGTTATTTTTTTTATTTGAGAATTTGTTATGTTACAAGTTTTGTATAGAGTTTTTGTGGAAAAAAATTTGGTAGCTACTTTGTAATGTAGCTTTTGTGAATAGTATGACCAGTTATGTAAATTATACTTCTTGATATATATGAAAATATATGTGTATATGCAAATATGATTTTGGAGTGTTACACGTTTACACCATTCATGGTAAATATCCCATGAAGTTTGGGACACATGGTGGACTTTCCTTTGTCTTCTGGTTCACAACGAAACATAGGGTTTGCAACTCTCATATCCGAACAACCTCCTCTGTGTACCAACGCCATAAATATTGTGACCCTCATTGACCTAACCTCAGGAGAAGCTCTTCCCATATCCATCTGACGACCTCCAACAACGAAACTACTATCTTATGCCTTTTGTGTATGTCTGAACACCTGCAACACCTCGCCTTCCCCCCACACACTCATCGATCATCTCCGTATGTATGTGCCAGATATATCATGGAGGTATGTATACACAATTGGTTAATGTAGAACCACCATCGCAAATATCATTTTGTTGTATTAAGATTAAAGACAAAGAAAATAGTATAACACACAAAGAACTTGGGTTTATTCTTTTTGTATTTGATATACAATTCATGATATACCTCAAGCATACAAGAACTTGAGTGTATTTTAACTGAGCCACACTATTTTCTTGATTCTTCTTCAATTGACTCGAATGATCAAATGGAGTCACAATCACTTTGTCATCATAGTAACCAAACTTCCAGAGTATCTTCTCAATATCGTGAGATTGGGTGAGGATGTAATCATTTGGATTTCATTGAATCTTTATGACAAGGATCACATCCACCACTCTTATAATGCTTAACTTGAAGAGTCCATTATGGAGGTAATCCTTCCCAATATATACACTATCCTTGGTGATAACCAATTTATTAGTTTCAAATACAAGTTTGAACCTTTTCTTGCTCAGAATAGGGTCAAATATCAATTTTTTGGTAAGACTAGGTACATGAACAACATTAATTAGAACAAGATCCTTGCTGGAAGTCGGCTTAAGATTTACCTTCCCCTTTCCTCTAATCTTTGTGATCATGGTGTTCCCCATGAACATCGACTCCCCACCGCTCACCAAACAAGCTCTCCGAATTGCAAATATGCATGGTTGCTCCAGTGTCTACCCACCAATCCACCATGTTGGTGACCATGTGGGCTTCAATGACTCCCAACAAATTCATTCGAGGAGTGGGTGAGATTAGCATGGCTTGTATATTCCCAAGATCCTCCATCACCACTTCCACTAGTGCCACCATGATCTCTATTGTGTTAGTAATCTTTGGCTCGGTGTCCAGACTTTCCGCGTACCCAACAACATATCATCTTTTTGAAGGTTTTCTTTTGTGGCGTCAAGAGGCTCTTTCCCGCATTGAAATGCCTCTTGGGTGCAATGCCCTTTCCCCTTGAATTTCGGGAACTTCGTTTACGAAGAACCACCTTCAACCATATTGGCATGCGGTTTGATGGTATTGGCATCGACTTTCTCATTAAGTCAGTTGTCTTCCTTCACTCGGATTTTGAGAAGTAACTATTCAAATGTAATATCCTCCGTCTTATGCTTCAAATAAAGCTTGAAGTTCTTCCAAGAGGGAGGTAGCTTTTCGCTTATTGAATTGACCACAAAATTGGCATTCAAGCCCATGCCTTCAACTACGACCTCGTGGACAAGCATTTGCAATTCTTTCACTTGCTTTACCACCGCTTTGGTGTCAATCATCTGGTAATGTAAAACTTTCTCTACTATAAACCTCTTGGAGGTTCGTGTTATCAAATAAAACAACATCTTTTGTTGTCAACGTCGGAACTCTAAACCCTTGAATTTCTCCGGTTTCTCCACATATATGTCAAGGAAAGCCCACCATGAATACCCACACACAAAGGTCCAAACTTTTAAATGATTCATCTAATGTTTTAGAGTTTGTATTCATTAAGTGGGTTCATTTTCTGAGGCTCCCTTGTAAAACAATGTTTCTCATACATACGCCAAATTCCAACAGTTACAAGGACCAAAAATAAACAAAATAATAACCATAATGATCAAATTTATAATCAATTTAAAAATCGTACGAACCAAAAATGCAATTTCCTCGGTATATATGAAATTGAGAAACTTAGAAGAAATTAAGGTGGGATTTCAACATCCATGACTCACAAACTAAACATGTGCCTCATGATGTCACATGTTGTAGTCACCTACCCTACAGACACATTCTCATCAACCGTACACGTGTAACCCTGAATTCATCGGGTCCTTGTTTCTTTAAATACAAAAATACACCACAATACGATATCTTTATAAAACTAATTTTATAAATTAGTTGCAAAGTCATACAATGTAATTAGTTTTATTATGAACATAAAATAAAATATTAATATAATTATTTTTATTAAAAAGTATGAATTCATGGAATACACCATCTATGATTATCTGTAAACATAGTAAATTATAAACTTGTATTTTGAGATGTTTTAAAAATATAAAGTCAGTACCTTACGGAGAAAACTATAAGAATTTGTCAAACAGTTATGAAATTATAAGATGACCATCATGGTTTATAAAAACATCTGAATTTAATTCTTTTTAATGGTCGTTAACAAATCCTGTTAAATGAGGGGTGGGGGTTTGCCATTGAATTGACTTTTTTTTGTTTTTTTATCCAATCAAAACGATATAAACCAAAATGTAAAATTGATTTTGATTGAGTAAAACATAAAAAAAAATGTATAAAAGAATAAAAATCTCTCCCATTTAATATAATTTTTTGATGGCCTCTAGAGGAAGGATCAAATTCATGTGCTTTTACAAACCATTTAAAAACATAAAGACAAAAGTCGTAATTCTTAACAAACCATACAAACGAAAATCGGAGTTCACTCAATAGTTTTTTAGTTGATTATGGCTGAAATATAAACATCTTGTTTTGTCTTATGGTTCGTATTTTTTGGACTGTTTAAATATTTTTTAGTCGACTATATATTTGTCTTACTTTAAACATTTAATTTTATTTATTTAGTCAGTGTACATTTTATCATTTATCACCCCACATGTCCTTTTAAATGATATTTTTAGCTTTGGTCTTTAAAAAATTAACGTAAGATCGTTTTTATAAATATATTTTTTCTTCAAAATTCATTTATCGATAGAATTTATCTTACTCGATTATATTATAATCAGGCAATATTTTTAAAAAAGTTTATATGTTCACGTATCTGTTTATTAAATGCTGAAAAGAGACATGAATTATGAGACTTTCAATTAATGAATCGTCAAAATGAAACATCAAAGACAAATAAAGGTTTAATACATTTAGGCCGGTAAATTAGGTGATAACTTAGTTGTTAATTGAAAAATTAGTTAATAGCTAATAAGCACAATTTGGTCATGTTTGAACGAAACAAGTAGGGGTGAATATGGTACGGTACCATGTTTTTTCTCAATTCCATGTACCAACCAACTATATTTGGTACCAACTTTTTTCGATTGGTACATGTTGTTATGGTTTTGTACCATCATCTCAAAAATTGAAGTTACAATTACCAAATTCATTAGCATAGGTACAATCTGTACAAACTTGGAGTGGAGGCATGCGTTAAGAAGAGAAAGAGACGGGGTTACTGATTATGACTAGACTTAGGGAGTTACAGTTGTTTTTGACTTATGAGACGTTCACCCTAACTAGTGAGTAACAGTAAGTAAATCGTGTAAACAGTAATTTATAAAATGTTAAATCAATAAATGATTAAATTCCTCTAAAAACAATGAGATGCATTAATAATTAAATATAATTCACTTAATTAATTTTTTATCTAATAATATATATATATATATATATATATATATATATATACATGTGTGTGTGTGTGTCGTTACAGTACGGTATTATCATGGTATACGATTTTTAATATCACGTATCAATCAAATTTATGAAGTTAATACGATAATACTAACCAATTTAGTTGGTAACAGTTGAATTGATATGGTTGATAATACAATTGGTAAATTTGTCATGATATAAATTTGCCTAAAACCAAATTGATAAACTGAATGACAATGTAGAATAATACAAAAGAAAATGTTAAAAAAATTATTTAATTCAATATAATTGACATAATCAGGAAAATATTCTTGCATCTTATTGAAAACTACCTGAAGTGTCTTTTTTGAACTTCTTACGTCTCGTTAAATATGATCTTTTGAATAATCTCAAAAAATAGTTAAAGTTATAAACTAATATATGGTTGTGAAACGATATTAAAAATAGATTATCTGATAAATATATTTTTACTGGTTTTAAGTTCAAATATTAAATTTGTCTGTAACAAAATTTATATTCAAATATTATTTCAACAGATTTTTCAGATAATAATATATTAAAAATAAATACAGAAAAAAATGTTATCGTTATATAAAAATAAATGTTAATTGAATTAATTATATTAAAAATTATCCTAGTTAAAATATAAAAAAATATTAAAATAAAATAAAGCATAAAAAATTCCAAATGTTTGAATTTTGAAAATAAAATGGAATAAAATGCCAAAATGATGAATATTTGAGATTGCTGAGAGAGAATCTTTAATCTTCATAATGTGGATGAACATGTACTTGTCACAAGAAACTCCAAACTAATATTCAAACCAACACAATTAATGACAAAATAAGTCATTAATTATCTCCTAATTTTTTTTTACATAAATTAATATTCAAACTACTCATAGTTTCTTTGATTTCTAAATTGGTTTATAAATTAAAAAGAAAACACATATTCAGTTAGAAAAAACAAATTTTAGCATTTTTTTACAATACTAATAGCTCGTTTTACTAAACGCTTAATTGATAAGCTCTTATCGAGTCATTTATCTTACCGGATAAACATGGTAAGAGCCAAGAATCGTATCCGGTAAGAATGATAATGAGAAAAATGAGCAGTGACGGACCCATAATTTTTGTCGAGTAGGTGCACCTATGAAATGAATCAAAGTCCTATAAAGTTGTCTGATATATTTTCAGTCGAACTCCATGATTTCAAGGAATTTTTAAGTTCTTTTTGTCGATTTCAAAGAATTTTTTAAGTTCTTTAGTTAACTTCAACCATTTTTTTTTTCCCTTTTTGGGTTGATTTTGGGACTTTTTCAAGTTGTTGGTTGATTTCGAAGGATTTTTTGGGGTTTTTTTTGTTGATGTTACTTGTATTTTCTAATATACCGGAGCACGACATAAATTTTAACTTGTGCACCTTTTATGCCACATGGAAAATTTATTTGTAAAAATCAGTTGAGCGTGTGCATGAGACCCTGCTCCGGCATGAATATATTCACCCCTGTAAGTGAGAGTAACGACTTTTACCCGATAAGCGTTTACCAAGTAAATTATTGCATATGATACTGTTTCGATGAACTCCAATCTTATCCAGCAAAGTAAGTTAGAGTACTGACCCTTACCAGATAAATGTTGGGTAAACGACGCTAATATAGTAATTTTTATATCATGCAATAAAAGTTGTAACTTGCTTTACATTTGGAAAGAGACATAAAACAATGAAGAATAGAAGATAAAAATATGTTTATTTGCACTTTTTTCTGTAAATTTGTTGCAATAAAACCATACAATCATAAAGCACACAAAATAAGTAGCTCACATCTTACATCTATAGGGTTTTAGTCCCTTGACTATTTTTCTTTTAAAATAAAAAAGAAAACTAAAATAATCTACTAAACACCCCATTTACAGTTGCTGCTTTAACTCAGGGGCGAAAGTAGGAGGGTAAGAATGCAACTTTTTAATAGTAAAAGGGTCTAACGTGAAAAGTCATTATCAATTCTTAATTTCTTCTAGTGTTGGTTTGATAGCTAAAGAATGCTTAAGATCACCAATATGAAGAGTGTGTTCACCCATTGGAACCCTTCGGATCCCAAATTTGTCCACCACACTCAAGTGTTTGCACACATGAAGGTCAATTGCCACCCTTTCTACCCCTCCAGCCACCACATGGACCTTTTGGAACCCCACCAATTGCTTGTTTGTGGCCCATTTCCCTTCCGGCGGGCTTGAGAATACCATCACGGTGTGGGTCCCGTCTACGGTTCCTGTGTTTTCCACGTCGATGTGTATACCCATGGCGAGGGTGGAGCATTTCGTGTGGGATACACGAACCCCGTTGGTCAGGGTCGTGGAGTTGTTGTTCTCGAGATGGACTGATAGCATAGAAACAGATAGTGATGTTGGGGCTTGAGCAATGGAATGTTGGTAGGTTGTGTAACTTAGACCATGCCCAAATGGATAGACCACGGGTCCTTTGTAGAAACGGTAGGTCCGGCCCGGGTAGTTTTGGGCCGGGTTGGCCCGCATTCCCATATTAGTCATTGGCACTTTAGCCAAGTACCCTTGTGGGTACCATGTCATCGGTAGCTTTCCTCCTGCAAAGAATTCGCAAGATGTCATTAGTAAGCTTAGATAGGCCCATTGGAATATAACATAGGCCCAATAATTAGTTCAATTCTATTGGGTTTTATGAAAGCCTTTTTATTTGTATTAACCTGGATTGGTTGTTCCGAATAACACATCAGCGATGGCGGTTCCACCTGATTGACCCGGATACCCGGCCCAAATTATAGCCAAAATCCTAGGGTCGTTTCTAGCGAAGGTGATGTCAAGTGGGCCACCCGACATCAAGACGAGCACAACAGGACCTCTCGAAGACTTGGCAACTCTTGATATAAGCTCTTGTTGATGTCCGGGTAAGAGTATGTTCACCCGATCTCTTGCTTCGGCTTCAATTGATTGATCAAGGCCCATAACTAACACGGTTGCATCGGCTTGTCGGGCCGCTCCTTCAGCCGCCCCAATTAATTGGCTCCCTTTACAACTAACATCAGAACACCCTGCTTGATGAATTGTCTTAACGTATCTAGCTATACCTTGTAACGGGGTAGTATACCCGCACGCAATTCCTAAAATTCCCAAAAATAGACAATGCGTTAGATTTTTTTTTTCCCATTTTTATAGGATTCAACTTTTGTTATGACACGTACCAGCATAGTTGCCTATCATGGTGACTGTCACATCAGAATTGGGACCGATAACCGCAACGGTTCGATGCCGAAATGTTGACAATGGCGGGCCTTTTCCACGATTATCGAGAAGAACAATGCCTTGGCGGGCCGCTTCTAACGCAAGCTGGTTACTTGACATTAAACAAACATCTGGTACCCCTAAGTTTGCATAAGGTTGTCTCGGCCCATCAAACATGCCCAAACGAAATTGAACCGTGAGCGTGTTGGACAAGGCCCCATCGACATCAACCTCTTTCAATTTCCCTTGTTTTATTGCCCCCTCGGTATACACCGCCAAAGTTGGGCCACAATCCAAATCAAGACCTACAGAAAAAAAAAATAAACTCATAAAAACAGAACCCACAAAATAAAATATCGAACATGCTAAATAATTCGACCCAAGACTCTCATCGAACCTGCTTTGATGCTGTCAGCGGCTGCATCTTCCGGTGTAGCGGTATAGTGTTGATTAGTATACATAACCCCAACCGAATCACAATCCGACACGATGTATCTGTTTTTCAAGTAAAATATTACGAAAAACGAAAATAACGAGTCATCATTTTGCAAAATCAACCGTCTAATTCGTACCCGTTAAGACGCCAATCCCCACGAATCGTATTTTTAAGGAGATATGGGTCCGCACAAGTTGGCTTGCCGTTGACTTGATTATACGAACACATCACACTTGCAACTTTACCTTCTAAAACACAAGCCTTGAAGGGAACATTATATGTATCCTCCAAATCTTGTTTACTCACCTACATAACAAATAAAAAATCCATCATTTTAGACTTTTTATTTCTTGAAAGGATTGAAAAACGACATCTAATGGTTTAAATATTTTTGTTTTGCAACGAGAATCTTGTACTTTTTGGTATGCAAAATAGTCCGGTAACTTCGGGAGAAAGAGTGCCTCCTATAAAGGACCGCAATGACCAGGTCACTCAGCCATCTGAATTATAAACCTTTAATAAAATGGTCATCCATAACCCAACAGCCTTGTCTGGTCTACATACAGGAACTGGCGACATCCGATATGTGTTTTGATACGCCACTTTATGTATGTTAGTTAAAAAAAAAGTTAAGAGAGTTGTGTTTTTCGCTTCAAACATGTAAGATGACATGTTAGGTAGCGAAAGTATGCCAATTTCTATGACGGGTAAGAACCAATTTTACGCTTTGGCTTTGACGTATTAAGTGATGCATTTCTGAACAACCATGTCTCTTTTCGGTAAAACCCGCAAGAAGGAAGTTGTATTTTTAATTACATCACATGTTTCTAGGGACATACACAACTTTATGACATAATCCGAGAAAAAAAGATTAAATGTTAGTTTTTATCGTATCATATAGTTGATTTTGTAGCAATAATATACCATTTCTAGTTTAGGAAAATGGCAATATTTGCTTTCAAACATTTGAAACTCTGTATTTTTGGGTAAAATTCATTTTCAAGTAGGTTCCAAAACTTGGTGTGTTCAAGGGGCATTTTTAGCAATCATACACCACCTTTTGTGATGAAGCTAACAAAATGTACCTTTTCATTTAGAGATGTTAAATGGTGCATTTTTTTAGGAAAGGCTTCTTTCATTGAGAAACTTTAGTTAAAAGTTAGTACTCTTACCAATCATAAGTCCTTTACCAATTTCCCCATCTATGTGACCACATTTAGAAAAAAAAGTGGTTGTTTTTGTTTAAATATGAAAATGGTATATTTTAAGCATATGGGATTCATATATTTTTACCATCACGAAGAATTATAGTTTTTTGTTTCAGCAAGTTAAATGGTATGTTTCATTCGTGACAAGTATGGAGGGAGAACGTATTTTTTTTTTGGTTCAAATGTTGTAAATACATTAATCTAGTGATGAAAATGAACCTTTGCATTGAAGTGGAAGCGATCAACTCCATTCCAGTTATCAAGATCATAAGCAGTGTAGTGCTTGCAACAAGCTGCAACCTTCAGTCTATCACCCACGTTTCCTTGAAGTCCTTTAACATATCTTACAGCATATCGAGCAGCCAATGTTGGATCTTCTCCAGGTGTTTCTTGACCTCGACCCCACCTTGGATCACGGAAAATATTCACATTTGGACTCCAAAATGTCAGTCCCGCCTTTCCTCCATTGTACATTGCTCGTGCTTCATTAGATACCACCTAAAAAAAAAATTTATTCCCGATATGTGAACCACTAACATACACCTTAATTAGTTAACCAATTCATTAGCACCCCAACAATACATCTGCTTTCAGTCACGAATCTTTTATATATATATATATATATATATAACAAATAACTTTAAACACCCTCAAAAAAACAATTTATTTTAACATAATTTAATGGATTTAACTATTAGGACAAAACAAACCAAGAAAAAGAACCCAATTTCAACTAGAATTAATTATGCAATTAACTATGGAGTTGTACCATATAATTACAACCATATTTGTACCTTTTTTTAATATAAAAGTAGAATTAATTAGAACATTATCATGATGTAATGGATGGTAATTATGACAACAATTGGCCAAATTAAATAATTGAAATAATATTAAAGGGATATGTGTGTTTTTGAAAGATGGGTTATAAGTTATAGTAGTGAAAGATGCCCCACAAATAGGTTAGGGTAGAAATAAGTGATCCCTTGGCCATGTAGTATAGTATCAAAGGCATGGGCTCTAGATATGCCAAAAAGACCACTTGTTCTGAAAAGGGAACATGCCAGCTTGTACCACTACCATTCTTCCAATTATCCTTTTCTTTCACTTATTTGTTTTTAATGCATTAAGTGCTTGTACATTATGCAATCAAGTTTGTAACAATGGGTAATTTTCATTGGTTGTGGAATTATTCGTATTTGTGTCGTTGTAACTATAAAAACAAACCGAACCGGGACGCAGTTTACATCAATGTCTGGTCAAAAGCAGTTTTTCTGGTATAGGTACAAAGGAATCTTTTGAGACGTCGGTATCTGGATTTTAGAGGAGCTAAAGACGTTATCGTATAAGAAAGACGATTATACCCTTATGTGATATAAATGGGTAAAACATGATAACATTTGCTAGGCTACCATTATTCCTTATGTAGGTTAGAAAATTGAACACTTTATTGATTCTCTTGTGGTTGGTTATGTAAAAATGCATGAATCTACTTCTGATTTTGGGTGTGTGTACAAACACAAATGTTGGGGGTAAAAGTGAAAAAATGAAATGGAAGCGATTCTATAATGTCAAGTAAAAGAACACTTCGCCCCCTCTAAGTTTACTAGGTATACAAAATAGCCCCTCCCTATAATTATTTCTTTCTAAGTAACATGCAAATAAAAAACAAATTTCTCTGTCAAAAACAAGGACTGGTTTTTTGGCAGTAGAATTTGGTTATCTTGTGAGTGGCCACTCGCACCAAAATTCATGCAGACAATAATAAATATTTGTATGTTTTTAAAAAAAATTCAAATATTTTTTTATTACTCTACAAATAAAAATATTATTTATAACTCAAATAAAATTACTACATATTTTTTGAAAATAAAATTTCAGGAAAAAAAAACATCTCGAGAAAATGAAGTTTTTGTTTTAATTAATAGTCTATGTCCGATATAATATCATGAATAAATTTTAACCAATTAAATAAATCGAACTAATAAAAACATAATTAAAATAATTTTTTTTATAACTTAAAAAAAATGATATAATTAATTAAATTAAAAATACACATGGTTGTGTGGGTCCATTTGACATTTTAATTTAGACATGGGAATGAAGTTAGAATGGAACTATAGCTTTTTTGTTCGTTTTATACGGTTATTGGCATCTCATGCATACAACTAAAATCAAGAATTAAATAATATATATTAAATTTGGCTGCCCATCAATCAAGTGATCTTAATAACTTGAAGATACATGCATACATATATATATATATATATATAATTGTGTATGTATATATCTTTAATTTTTCTCTTGCTTTACTTAAAAAGTTAAAGAAATTAAACGTCACATTACCTGTCCAATTTCTTCCCATAAAGTGTCGTTAAATGTTGAAGCAGTGGTGATGACCTGAGGAAACTGTGTGGCACCAAGAAACGTGGGAAGAAACTTGGTTCCTGGACCGACGTCGGAAACGCCATGTAACGCTTCAGACCACCATTCATACCCTTGAATTCCTAACCGGGGTATACCCGCTGCATTATTCACCAACAGTCTTACTTTTTCTGCCAAAGTTAAACGACCTAACAAGTCCCTGACCCTGTCTCTAGTTGGTAGATTTACCCGACAAAACGGGAAGTTACTGGTGCCGCGATTACTCGGGTCACAAGCAAACGGAGCTCTTGATTCTACTCCAGAGAAAATCAAGAATCCGGTGAGGAGGAGGAGGAGGAGGAAGGCGGTGGAGGAGGGTGGTGGAAGAATACATTTGGTGTGAGTTATTGGGACCATCTTTGTGTGAGGATGAATTGGTTTTGAAGAAGAGAGAAAATGAAGGGTATTTATAGGGTGATATATGAAGGTGGCGTAAAGATGGTGGGTTAGTTTTTGTGTTCATGATTGGATTTACACGTCCCCTTTATAACGATGTTTCCCACTTGCTTTGCTGCCTTACCCTCTTAATTAAAACACTCACACTCCAACGCACACTCACACACACACACACAATTATAATATATTTATGGTGTTTTTTTTCTTTGTAGAGATCCAAAAACTAATATTTGAAGACAAAGCTTTATTGTCTGTTTGTAACTATTGTTGTCTTATAATTTAGTTATATGGCATGATATATATTCAAGAAAATAATTTCATATATATACATGTTATGTAATCGACACACACTCATATGTGTGTATGTATATATCTATATCTATATCTATATATATCTATATATGTGTGTGTGGGAGAAAAAGAAAGAAAATAGTGTATTAATTCTGGGGTCGAAATCAAGAGAGAGAAAGAAGACGTATTAGGTTAAAACGTCAATTATGGCTGATAAGCAATAAAATAGGGTCTCAAATGTGCAAAATATTCTCTATTAAAAACTACTTAAATTGCTTATTCATTATAGAGAATTAATTAAAAGTTATTTAATTTTTGTAATTGTATAATTAATTAATCATGTATTATACAAATTAATTTAGTTAACGATTAACTAATAATACTTTATAACATATTAAAGTGACGACAGTACAACATGAGTTATAAGATATTGATTTGAAGGTGGATCAGAATACCATCGATCTAAATATCTGATAGTAACATTGTGAAATTTTCTATATAAACGATATTGAAATTTGAAAAGGCGGTCATTTAATTTGTGAAATCTCAAATGTCAAAATTTCATTAACTTTTTAAAACAACGTATTGAAAATGCTCCGTTGGCAAAATTGACTATTAGTTATACGAAGTTTCATTTCTTTTGTTTCTTTCTTCATTTCTAATTTTAACTATTGAACGTATATTTTTATTTTTTCACAAAAAATTAATTGTTGTGTAAGACGTAATACCAATAAGTTTATATATTATATACACATGCATATATCATATACTGTTTTTATGAGACCCTTGAGATTACCTAAATAACACTGAACCTTCAAAATAAAACATTGTGAATGTAGCATTTACAATCTTTTTGCTGTGAAGATTTAGAGTTTTTCTTATATTCGTAATATTTTAGTGTAAAGTTTCAAGTATTATTTCTGGTTTCATGGGTCTCATGAAAATAAGTTGATCTCACGTGAACCAGATCCAAGTATTTATTTAATAATATTTAAATATCATCATAATTTTTTAATTTCACAAAAATTCAGTAATAAAAAAACTAAAATGTAAAGGTTTTAAGAGGGGTAAATATATAAAGTGACTCACGGATGAGGGAATCTAATGCTTTGACTAACCACCAAACCATGTGAGAGAAAATAAAAGAAAACATTTATATATTTAATTAATAATTAAAATGTAGTATTCTCTAAAAATTACGGTTTATACCTATTTAGATGTCCGTGTAAAATCCCGTACTTCTAATCACTTCACATATCTATGGAATTATTTGAATTTGTTGAAAAGTACACATATATCGTATTTTTTAAATCATTTTTAATAAATTACATATTTATAATGATTTTGCACATATAAACATACATACACGGGCTTTCATTTGAAAACTTATAAATTGTAATAACTTTAAAAATCAATATATCAATTGCGATTTTCCATTTTTTTTTCCAAATACGATTTCTTTGTGAATACAACTAAAAAGTTTTCATTTTGTGAACCGAATACATATGAAACAAATAATTAAATTCTAGTCCTAGAAAAAAAATCATATGAAACAATATCTTATAAGCCCACATCTAACACAACTGTGGTGTTTCTTAAATAAGTAAGAAAAAAAAGTGTTTTTATTACCGATAGCTCATAAAAGCACAATGACATTTTTTGTAAATAAATTGAATTTTTCAGTGGCATAGTTATAACTTGTAAGAAAAACCGAACTTTCATCTATTGTTACCATTGTCATTTAGCGAATGTGAGTTAAAAGCCATTGATGGGAGGGACTAATTCCAATCGAAAACACAAACCATAACGGTAAATTTGTGATAGAAAAACGGTAGAAACTAAAACCGAGACAATAAAATACAAGGACCAAAAATGTAGTCCACGGTAAAAAAAAAATTATAAAAAAGAAATATGGTTGGTCGCTCGTGATGCGTCCCTCGTGATCATATGTAAAAAGTAAGGAGAACAGAAGCTTGAGCATTGTTTTATACCTTTCGTTTACTTTTGTTGCCATCCAAAAACAATTTCTTTTATTTTTGGTCCCAAAATTAAACCAATAAATTGTATTTTTTTTTTATTTAGGGGGTGTTCAGGATTGCTTATTTAAAACAATTTATATTTTTCTATAAAAGCAATTATCAACTTATTTATAAGTTAGAAGAGTTTAACTTCTTTAAAAACTCTTTATTACCGGTTTGGCACCGGTATAAGTTGTTTATCCAAACACTCAAAGTGCTTATTACCGGTGTCACACCAGAATAAGTCAATAAGTTGTTTTTATAAGCAATCTTAAACACCCCCTTAATAAAATCCCAACAGCACAAGATATTTATTAAAAACATACTATACATCTAATTATTAGTTATGGTTTTTCTTTATACTCTGATGTATAATTCAGTTGACAAATGGATGACATGACTTTGCTTAAATACAAGGTAGGTCTTAGTTTCGATCCCAAACCCCTCACTAATCTCAGCCCAAGAATACACTGTCACAATTGTATCATTGAAGGCAGGTTCCATGTGAAACCAGTTAAAATTATCAGTAATCAAATTTTTGCCAAAATTAACTAAGATGTTTATAGATTTAGGATTGTTCATCCGTTAAAAACATTATCAAGTGAACCTTAATAAAATAATGATGCAACTAAAAACTAGGTTTATATGAGGTGTTTTAGTATGGGTTTAGATTTAGTATAGTCTCAAACTACATCGTAAATAAAATACAAACTTATTTTTGTTAATTGGAAATACAAAAATATGAAAAAAAATTACAATTTTTATGTTTGAATAAACTATTAATATAAGCAGAAGCGCCAGTCTTGTTCTAGTGTCAAACTGAACCAGACAAAGAACTAACTTTTAAAAGATATAATCGAAAACCAGTTTTTCACCAAGAATTGATTTAAAGTTTATCCGGTTTCAAATTAAGTCTATACAGATCAAATGAAAAACACCAATAATTGAGAACCGAACTACATATAATGTGTTCCAATTTGATCTAATCTGACTCTTCTTTTTGTTTATTTAAACCGATGTTTATATATTTGTATCAAATTAAATATCACATGTTTAAAAGATGTATATTTCTTATTTTAGAACCTAACAAATATTGTAGTTTTGTTATTATTTTTTTGTCAACAGAAAATATTATCATAGTTTTAAATTAAAAATATATATATTATCTTATTTTTAAATTAAAAATTATTGATTAAAAATGATGATTGCACCATTTCAACTATAATTAATTAAATGTCTACTATTATAATTTGCTATCAGTTTTTTTATAAAAATTAATATACGGTTTTCAACATCTTGAAAAGTTTTTAATGTTTATTAATATGGATTTAAATTCATAGTGTCTAGATGAAGTTTTGATCATTTAAATTCAACGGTGAATTTACGATTTTTGTACTTGGACTAAGTTTTACCAACTGTGTTGATCTTTTGAAAGTTTCTTCGTGTTTGGTTTTGACTGTTATACGAAATAAATAAAAACCAGTATATTTGTTGTTACAAAGAAATGCAAAACGCTACCCGTTTTGACCAACATTTGGGTTTGACTTTTTATGTCTGATACCTATCTCATAACTGACTTGTAAGTGGCAATGGGCTGGCCGCGATGTAACACAAGTCGATCATAAAACACATGAATAGTAATTTGATCTTAATGGTACTCAAATTGTAACAAATATTCCAATAACCCTTGTATTCTAACAACTTCTTGAGGCAAAGCGAAGATGACGGCAAAGCGAAGATGACGGCAAAGGCAAAGAAAGTGATTAAGCAACGACAATGTCACAAATTCATTGAGGATGCGAAGATGACGGAAAAGGTAAAGAAAGTGATCTATCAACGAAATGTCAAGAACTCATTGAGTGTTTTTTCATTTTTTATTTATTTTTAACTTGTTATATCACATTAATTTGTTTAGAGCATACTTTTTTTTATTAACTTGGATATCCAACCCGCTATGCGAGTCGATTAATCTCAGAACGACCACATGTTTTGCAGATAGCACGGAGTCACCGCATTTGAACCTATGTGGCCACAAGGAGATTTTTATTCCTCATTGGATTTGAACTTGAGACCTCCTGATACTTTTGATCTTTGGAGCCAAGCTCAAACCAATCAGACACCACCCTTGTGGTTATAATATTTAAAGGGAATACGGATTTGATCCCTTTGGTTTACACTTTCTACCTATAGTGGTCTTAAAATCAACGAAAATACAATGATGGACTCTGGATGGCACCTATTGAGCCCTCCTCTAACAAAATCAAATAGATTCTATTAATCTAGTTAAATTCACTAGTATTTTACCCTTTTTTTATCCTTAATTTTGTCACAATCCTGTTTTGTCTTTTCTAATATATATATATACACACATTTACATATATTTATCATATATATACACACATACATACACACATTTACATATATTTATTTTTTTATTTTCATTTTAAAAGAAAAACAAAACCTAAAATCAAAATCATAAAATAAAACCTAAAACTAAGCATCTCCATGGAATTTCACGATTCAAACATCTGTATCTGTAGCTCCTTCAAAACAGTGATGCACGCAGTAATCACTCACACTCCCAAGCCTCTGCCCTTTCGTCGTCCTTCTAGACGCACCAAGTGGTGGCTCCCCATAATTACAGCACTCAACCCTAACCTTTCAACCTCTAAACACAATCGGTCCTTCATATCATGATCTTTTAACGATGTGGATCTTGAAATTGATCTGAGAATCGATTAACG